CTTTTGCGCAAACTGTAAGTGATGCCAAGAGAGATTGTATCTTGGGACGGAGAAGACATGGTAAGCATCAACGGGTAGCTTATCAAAAATTCAAACATAGCAGATTTTATTATCGAAGCAATGAGAAAAAGACTCCCATTGGGAGAAAATTATTTGGAAATGTACTAAAAGTGTATAATATTCTACGAAAGTTTATTGGTAACGAGGAGTTGTTACGGATAACTATCAATGTAGAGATCAATGTAGAGATCAATGTAGAGATCAATGTAGAGATCGTGTAACCTGAAATTCTGATGGAAAAGCAGCCTTCTTTGAAAGAATTAACATTCCACATATTCCCGCACCAAACGCTATGTGGATGTTCTTCAGAAAATTGTCTTCGCACACAATCATACAAAACGGATACGAGTCGGGGTGAAGCAAGAAGTTTCTGAAATCAGACTTGTCTCTCATTACTGTAACCCACTAGTGTATATCTTACAAGACATCAAGGCTGAAAACATCGACGGAATATTTTACGAAGGAGAGTTATCAGGATACGGCACCGTGACAGTAAAAATGAGCCATGTTTAGGATAATCTCCCTGCTGTGTTACCTAGCAATAATAGTATGAAGTACTACTCAGATAATAAATCACGAAACTTCATCACAAGTTTACGGGAGGTGGTTAACTTACCTGGTAGGTGGAATGTCGCTCTCTCGGAAATGCATAGACCTGTGACATTTTTGCCTATACCTGCACGTTACAGTCGTGACAATTGTGACAGTCGTTACAATTGTGACAGTCGTTACAATTACTTGACATTAGAGAGCAAAAGTAGGCTGACATAAGAAGAACGAGAAACCGCGAGCCTCACGTCCAACGCCGTCTTACAGGATGAGATCATCACTACAGGTGATGAGCTCATGAGTAAAGAGAAAGAGAATCATCCGCATGGCGTATACGGTAGTATTACAGATTAGTAGGATAGTATAGACGGGATGTCATTTATGAAAAATCATGTTAAATTCATGATGAATGGCGGCGGCTATTTCTCTGTACAGCGGGCATGTGCTGATTGCTGTGAAAATAGGGTCACACACGCGCGTCATTATCATGAAGTCTCCTTCAAACTATGTATGTATATGTATATATCGAATATATGGAAATAAACGTAAATATATGTATATAAACGCTGATATACATACCCCACTAATGCGTATTGTCCAATTAGACATTGATAATTATCAAGAGGGAGGAATGCAAATCAAGATATCTTCATCCCCTCTTCATCTCCTGTTACCATGCATGAAATTTCAAACGATCGAAATAGATATAAGAGATGAGTATGGAGCGCCAATACCATTCGAACACGGTATGATAACTGTGACACTTCATTTCACACGAACCAAATAATCACAGATTATGCGCCTACATTTTCACCCTTTATATATACAGGTACAGGTACAGGTGCACATGGCGGTAAAAATTGTGTGTACATGGGTAGTACCAATAAAAAATGACATGGTATTGGTAGTTTCTTGGGCAGTCCCTTCGGAAGAATACTACCATTCCTCAAGCAAGGAGCATCCCTTATCGGAAGAGATGCTCTGCGATCCGGTGTAAATGTCCGGAGCGATGTTCTCGAGTATGATATCCCTCCAAAAGACTGTCTACAGAACGGGGCCTACCAATTAGGCGTCAATTTTTTAGAGGAAGGCTGAAGGCTGAGGAATCGCAGATGGTTGTCAGGTAATTAAATTCATCACTGCCCTTCTTACCCGAGATGTCATCAATTTGACGGGTCACACCGGATCACCACTTTCGCTTTTACGTCAGTAGCTCTTCCGTCATGTCTCATACATAGTACGTTAAATCATAGAACCTTTATATGTGCTATGCGTCGAGTCGTTCATATCAGAGTCTGGTTGACATAAAGCGAAGAAGAATTAAAAGGTTCAGACGGTGAGAAATTTCTTGCTGATAAATATAGTACAGATTTTTGGAGCCCTACAGTATATACAGAATCATATAGTCGGTGCATACCCAGCGGACGAAATCCCAATGGCCTGGATGAGTCCGACTGCAATTATAGCAAGCACACATGGCCACACCCAGCCAGGAGAGCACTCGATCGAGGTGGTAGAGAGTGATACTTGGACAGCTTGAGACTATTTCCTACCGTGCCCCGACACATTTCAAGGCCACGAAAGAACTGTAAACTCTTTAAGTCCGGCATCCGCCAGCACCAGCATCACCACTGTATGACTATGTTGGCTATTTCTAAAAAGTTCGTTTCGTAATTCACTGTTCGATCCATATCTCATGATCGTCTAGCGCGTGAATATCATAATGCATTTATGAAGGGAACACGTAATAGCACGCCGCTGGAAAATAATGTAGCGGGCGTGGTTATGATTGTACGTTGTGGTGTCGAAAATGTAAGTAGCTTATAAGGATAGTATGTAATTTATGGGGTTATATTTGGGAAAATATATATTCAATTAATAATTAAAATTTTGCGTTTCTATTTCTTCCAGTATGATAGCTACTTTGACGTTCCCCCAGCATTTCTAGTCACTCCCACCCCACCACTTGACCCACAGTGACTGTTGGTGAGGGGCGCCATGGCAGTTCCCATACCATTAATGCACTATCATATAATGAAGGTGGATTGTTTAGAAGTCCAAACAATGAAATTGAACGATCAAAAATTAATTCAAACAATGTCAACTGGACAAACATTTATGATAATCTACCGGGAATAATTCGTTTTGTTGAAGAAGAATGTAATCGCACAAAAAGTGAATTGAACGATTTTGCGTGACTCACACAATTAGCTTATCTTGTTGCCTTAATTAAACTTCTCAATAATATTCACCTTGGAATGCAGAGAACAACATATCTTTTAGTGACCAATGATGATTTGAACAAACCGTTGTAACGAGATTTTTCTCGTTACGGGTTGAAATCCCCCTGGTAACAGAAAAGAACCCTGTTGTATGGACAGTGGAGGCGGAATAGCCATCTAGCGGAGCCGAACAGCTCTCGGATGGATGGCAGGTAAGACTTTCCTCCGATGAGGGGCCAAAGGCATAGCGGTTTGGGTGGAAACTGCGACCCCTGTCGGCCCTGAGGACGTTAGTAGACTGCGCATATTTGGAGTTGTCTCAGCATGTGATAGGGAGTATTGGGGCCGACGTACAGGCCGTCCAACTGAGCAACTCCGAAGCGTTACTGACTTAGACTAGGGACCAACGGCCAGGTGAGAGGACTGGTGCCCCCGGGATCCCGTCGGGTTGATTGGCCGTGGCACGGGTAACGGAATGACCGTGTTGCCGCCGAGATATCCAGACTAGGGGGAGAAGGCCCTAGGAGATTTCGGGCAGTCGAGCGCGAGCTCTCGATTAGAGCGGCCGCAACGCCGCTCGCTAGCTGGAACAACGCATGGCTGAAACAGCTTAGCAACGGGAAGTTATCCTTCCTCGTCCGAGTGATGCAAATCACTAGGGCGAGCATAGGGAGATGCTCCTGCATCTCCCGTGAAATCTCATGTCTCGTTTCGGAGCATGTGGTGACGACCATTGTGTTTCCGGAGTGATCTGTGCCCGGACGAAAAAGGTGATAGTGCGTGGCCCGTGGGTCTGGAGTCGAGAGGACTCTTGTCGACCCGACATGCGCCGCCATCTTGAGTAGCCAGGGACGGTAGCTCGCGAGGGAACGGGCGAACTGCGTGCCAGGAGTGTGGGTGGTCGTGAGGTCGATGGGAGATATCCACCTTGGTCGGATCAGCCTCCTGGTGGCCCAGGGAACCCCGTGAAGTCGCAGGCGAGTATGATCTTGCCTCGGGTAGCCATACCTGAAGGGCAAGAGGACCGCCCTGAGAGGCCTGGAAAGGCCTCCCAGGGGAGGAGAGCGCAAGGAACCGTGCTCAGCGTCGCGAGTGATGGCGACGTTGGGCCTGGAAAGGCCCAGAAGGATTTGGGGTTTCTCCGGGTGGACCACTCCCACTCTACCTAATCACAACTGAGGCTAGCTGGGCATGTGGCATGTCCAGCGGCCAGAAAAGTCCCTCGGGTAGCCGCATAGGCCCTGCGGGCCGGTTTTGTCAGGCCTTCCGAAAAGGTCTGGCTGGCGTCCGACACTTTAGAGGCATGGACATTGGTCGTAAGGGATGATTCCCCTGGGCGAAATACCCCGGGAAAATCCCCCTTACACCGTTCTCCCATGTAAACGATTTATGATACTTATGGTCGTTTTTCCAGGCTCCTAAAGCTTGTATGTACGATTTTTTTTCTATTTGCTTCTCCTCTCGTTCCTTCCCCTTACCCATGATGGAAGACGTCTACCACCTTTCGACTGTTTCCATTGAGCAACATTCCAAGAGTAAATTAATTAAAAATATATCAATTTTTTTGTGTTTCAAATTCATAATTTTTTTCGGCAAATTTTTGGTCCTCAATTCTAAGATTTCATCAAAATTACAAGTTAGAAGGTACGATTCACGAAAGAAATAATTACAACATTCATTTCGTCATTTCATAAATGCAAAAATTCATCTTTCGTTTTCAAATTTAATTTCTAATATTAACAAGATAACATGAAAATCGGCAATGGTATTTTCAAGAATATATTTCTAAGTTGATCGTAGTAAATTTTTATTTTTCCCATTTGCAGTTGCAATATTTGAAAGGAACATAATAATTGCCGAACACCATTTCCGAGATATATTCTCCATGGTTTTTCATTGCAAACTAAAAGTTTTCAATTCTATATTTAAAATTAAATATTCAAATTTTGCGATAATTCTGGTGGGTCAGCCATTTTTGTTCGACTCGCACACCACTTTGAATTGGGAGATGCCCATTTGGATTGGGAGATCATCCTGACCCTAATAATAGGATGGTTCTCGGCTACCTGAGGGTTGCCGGGACCTGGTCTAATAGAACAAAGTTAGGTTAGAGTCGTTTATATCATGATATACTAGGCATTGTAATAATGGAATATATTCATTTTCCAGGAAGGAAACTTTGAAACACAGTTCACTCAAAAAGCTTGATGCTTCAGGCTGCAATTTAGATCGCCCAGGAATTCATGGCTTACCATCATTGACGCATGTGACTTTATCGCACAACATGATTCACTTTCTTCCTGACTATATTTTTGTAAAAAATGGGGCATTAATTCATTTGAATCTCAGTTTTAATGGATTGTTACGTATAAATGCGTGTTCGTTGATAGGCATGCCAAAACTAGCACACCTGGATTTATCTGGCAATCACTTGGAGAACATTTCAGCCTCAGCATTTCGAGATAATATAGAATTGAAGAGCCTGAACATTTCTCATAATGGTATGAGAAACTTTCCCAGGCTGGTAGCGTCTGTAGTCAACCTGGATCTGTCCACTAATTTAATTGAATACATACCGAGGGATAGTCTGAGGAACATGTGGAGAATAGACTCCCTAATTTTGAGCGGTAATCGACTCGAAAGATTTGAAACTGGAATGGCGAGTAGAACTTTGAAAACTTTAATCCTAAAAGAAAATGGAATACTCAGATTGTCAACTGGTAGCTTAGAAAATTTGCCGATGTTGCGAAATATCGACTTATCAGGTGAGTACACTATTAAGAATGTTACATGACATAGACTCTGTGATGTCTAAAAACCTAGGAAATAATTTTTCCGTAATTCCACAATTATTCCGCGTTGTAGGCATTAAATATGTGATACTGGTTCCTCAACATGGACCTCAAGATTGCAAACTCATCAGTAAATATCCTCGTTATTGTCCCACTGTGAGGACCTACTTGCAACAGTGAATGTCAAAAATCGACAAGTGGGAAAACTCACGCTATATCATGCTCCACTAATGGAACACCGTTCCAAAAACCATTCTAAACTGAACAAGTTCCAAAAATTGCTATTTAAAATCAATCCGGAAACACCCGCGAAGTTGACAGTACCTTGATGAATGACATCGAGATTCGATCAGAAGACTTTATTCTTCGAATGCAACTTTTTTGCTGAATTGTAAAAGCCATTGAAATTTAGTAGATGATTATGGGAGTATAGTGAGTAGGAAGCAACATTCCTAAATTTGAAGTTCGCGGTTCTTCTTGCATATGAGAGGAAAAAGAATTTCATGATGAAATTTCGTGATAAATTTCATGTACATTCCTTTTTAAAGATATTAAAGGCATATTAAATTAAATTAATATACATTAAACTGTTCAACTTAACAATTCAAAAAAAGTTTCGACTGTGTGAACGTGCTTGATATTTACCTATACCGAAACCAAATCGCACAAATAAAATTGGCAACTTATGAGTACGCCTTTCGATAACCAGTTTGTCGTCAGATGGAAGAATAATTCCGAGAGGACATATACTACAAACCTAAACTGTTTTTTTGTTCATTCAAAGGGTTGGAAAAAAATACTGTTTTTCTCTCGGGTATAAAATCTGTTAATGTTCTAGTCATAATAGATAAATACATAGGACTATTCACCGACGGTAGTGGCCGTGCGGTTAGAGTGCTAGACTAGCATGCCAACGATCCGGGTTCGATCCCGGGCACCGGCGGTCAAAATTTATAGCGCTCTAATCTTACAGTTTCACTGTCGAGCGTTAGTCCTGTCAAAAGGACGACTGTACCACAGGGCAGGTTTTTCCCCTCGAATGAGGTTTTTCCCTCCCTTCGGAAAATGCGGTACAGGGGGTTGGGGGGTGGGAAGGGAACAAATGGTAAAGACCCGAAAGGGTATACGAGAGGAAAAAATTTTTTACATAGGACTAATCGAAACACAATCCCAAAACAAACTAATATGTATTTCGACACAAGAAATGCGGCGCATCTATTGGCTCTAATTCCAATTGCGCGAGTTGTAGAAGACAAATTTACAGAATTTTAACTAAATACTGACGGCCGAATTCTTTTCCTCTTAGACAAACCAGTATCTGATAAGTAAATCACTTGGCCTCTACCAAATAAATCGACTGGCTTTTCTCCGGTCTCAGTGAAAAGCGTGAAGATGGGGGGGGGGGGGGGGGCTATGGGTTTTGCGGTGCCCACACGAGTGTCCAAGTCCGCTTAGCGGCGCTAGCATCGTCTGTCCTGGTAGGGGTGGGGTTACGCGGGCTAGCGATTTAAAATGAATGGAGCGTTGTCTTCGACACAGGCCTAATTCACATCACTTCTTACTTCTAATCAACTTTTTTCCCTTTAAATTCAATCCTGTTGAAATATTATATTTGAAAGCGTGAAGAATAGGGAGATAGGACACACAATGAAAGGAGTTCGATTGTTTCTGTATAGAATTTTTATTGCTATTAATAATGGCTGTTTTTTACACACAAATTGAATATAACAGAATTTTAGGATTTACACCATTTGGCCGCTTTTTTTTAGATTGATTAGCCGTCTCTTGTTCGCGATTAATACGGTTACAATACTGTTGCATTCTAGCCCTCGTGAAATACCGAATAATTTGTAACATCCTCTCAGAACCATGTACTTCACAAGGGAATGGCACAATTTGAATCGTAGACTTCATTCAATATAAATTCAAATGGGTCGGTAGAATTGCAATGCTTCTGGAAACAACTTTCCAAGTATAAAATGAATCGAAAGAGGTGTAAGTTGGGGTGATAAAGAATAGAATCAAGAGTCAATTGTGTTAAAAGTGCTTCCAGTCTATTTCTTATGCACTTTATCAGGTGTACTATGTCCGCGAATACAAAGACCTTGCGCCTGTGATCCAATGGTTGATGAAAGTAGCTCTCCGCACTGTCATATTTGCCACTGACCTGCATATTCTCGTGTGTCCAAATCTTCCGGTTCGTTCTTGGTCCGCCCATCACTACACCATGAATCTTTGCCCCAGCATCCTCCATCAGGATGATTGCCTTTGCTTTGAGAAGCACGTCCCCTTTCACGGGTGCTCTCGAGGCAAAAACTGCGATAGGTTAGCTATATTGGTCAGCAAGTAGCTGATACATGATTACGATGGATTGAGGTCAATCCATGGTTGGCCTTGTCATTGAATTCCGAAGAGAGCGGACCATCTACTCCAAAATCCTGCAGTCCTGTGTATCTCAAGCTAGTTCATTGAAAACGGAAGGCTGCCTGCTTGGCGATCAATACTATAGGCCCCGAATCAATTTGGATACATTGCAAATAATTGAATTACCATACTATCCGATACTGAAGTAACCATCTGTGTTTATTTTTAGGGAATAGATTAACAGAAGGATTCCAGAGCGAAGTATTCAGTAGAAATCCAGAGCTGAACAGCATAGAATTGCACAACAACCCATGGCATTGTGACTGCAATCAACTGTTACCAATCTATCTCTATCTCACCCAATCACCTATGAAAAGGACCCTTCGGACATTAATGTGTCATAGTCCGAATGATAAATCCGGATATTTATGGACCACCGCTTGTAATCAATACTGGACGCAGAGTCCGGGAAAGCGATTCGAGAGCAATAGATCGTTCGTTATTGTTGTGCTTGGAGTATTTTTAGCTTTTTTGGTATTTGCCAGTACGATTTCTATTGGACACACTGTAAAAACGAGGAGGAGACAGGCAGAGCTGAGGGTGCGAGAGGCTGAAAGAGCGGAGGCAAGGGAAAGGTTGCTGCTTCATCGAAGGTATGATATTCGAGCGGACAGGTTTAGATTGGGTTTAGATTTTTTCAATTGATGGCAATAAATATACAATCATGGATTGTTAATGACTAATAACGTATAAAGCCATATTTTTTAATTTCTCATAAAACCAATAAAATTAAATTTAAGGAAGTGCTTGTCAATTCTCTAATGTCACATTTGTATATGACGATTGAAAATGCCTACTGCCCTTATCGAAACGAAGTACTGGTCGCTGCGCAATTGTTAGAAATTATTCAATATTCATGAAATCTACCTACGAATAAAAATTCCAGTGAAGTTCACTCCAGATGCAAATAAAATTCTCATTAAAACTGTTTGAGAACATTAAAAACATTAAACAACATTATGAACATTAAAAATTCGACAAATAGGAGGGTTAGCAGTTTGGAGTGATGACTCAGTCTGGTGGTTGATAGACTCGGAGACTCCACTACAGTGATAAAAGGGGTTACCATCGGTGGATTTCTTGATCCAGACGACTCTTACAGGGTGATGGTGAAGTTGGCGAACTCGGTGGTTCGATGGACGATCTAGGTGGTCAGGATCATCACTTGTCGCATCAGAAGCTGTCGAGCGAGAGGTTCGAGTAGCCTGAAGAAAGCATCCAATTTTCCGTCTGACCGGGGGTGACGGTGCGGCTGCTCCTGCACTTCGGGTTTCGAATCACTTGATGCTCGTTTTATTCTCGATTCGCCACGTGAGTTGCATAGTCAATCTTGTGATTAATTTGAATGTTACTTCAGTATTTTTGGATTTTCTGTAGCTGAATTAGCCCCAACGTGTTAGCGGGCACGTATTTGTAATTTCGTGCGAATACTGCTTTCACGACTGCGACTTGATAAGTCCAGGAGAATCTTCGCTGGTTGATTTGGTTTCTTCTGGCTTACGCGGCTTCGACGTAAGCAGCTTCTGCAAACGGGTTTGCACAAATTAGTCTGTATAGACTCACGCAGTTCAGGCGTAATTACTGGTAGAGACGGTATTGTTTTCGTAGAAAAATGGTAGCCAATGCTAGGATAACGCTGCTTTGGCGTTGTAATTATTGATGGAGGCAGTATCGTCTCGCTGGCTGAACTTCTCTCTCTCAGCGAAATCGATGCATCAGGATTGGCACTCATCGTAGTGGTCCTTTTGCGTGTTCTTCAAAATTTTATTCTTTATTCTGGGAGGCGAGGGAAGGAGTGATCAGCTGCATTCGTAATTTTGGGGTGAAATCATTTCCATATTACTGATTTTCACGATGTCTCGGTTATTAGTGACATTGTCTATGTGACATCGCAGAAGCTCACTCCGAAGCTTCGTGAAGCTGGGGAGCTCAAGGTTGGCCCGTCACAGGAATCCCTGTCGTTGTCAGATCTGACAACGTTCTTGACTGCTCGAGATTCACGCATCCCCAAATCCACGAGGATCAGCTCGGGGAAATCATCCTAGGTTCCAACGCAAACACTACTCAATAGTCTACTCAACCTTTCCCTGAAGACGGATCAATTTAAGGCTCTGCTCAATCGGCGAAGGTGCCATATCCATGCTCCATGTGTAAGGCGGATCATTATCTCTCGTCCTGCCCCACAATACAGTCCACTTACTCTCGCTTTCAACTTAGAGTTAATGCCTATGCTCTCCGTCAGCGCACAACTTCTTTGCTCACTTTCTTACCGGGACTGCTTACATGAGATCATCTGCATGGACTTCAACTCGTGGATCCTGAAGTTCTGACACCAGCACCTATTGACGTGTTAATGTCTACGGCCACCTCATCCTTCTGGACGTCATCACCAATGGACGAAACTCACCATCCATACGTGTTCTGCAACAGCTTGTTGATGACGAAAGATCCAACTATCCTCTGGCTGTGGAACCGCTCATGAAAGGACAATATGTTGACGATATCTGCGGGGTACTGACTCAAATGAAACGCTACTCAGGACCGCTCATCAGCTGACACAGCTCTGTTTGTCAGGTGGCTTCCCATTAGCCCAATGGCACTGAAACAGTTCCGCTCTCCTGAACTCTCTTTTACCGGATATCACTTCACATGATCACCGATCCATAGAAGAATCACTCACCAAGATCCTGAGGGTTTCATAGCATCCAGCATCCAGCTTCAAGTTCTCCGTCACTCAACCTAAAACCAACTGAATCACGAAGAAAATCATCCCCTCGGAAACAGCTCAACACTTCGATCCACTCCGCTTTCTAGCGCCAGTGGTTATACGGGCCAAAGTCGGGATGGGATGAACCAGTTTCCCCGACAAATGCTCACAAATGGCGTCAGTTCAGGGAAGAACTCAATGCACTGCTCAAGGATTCTGTCATAGAAATCCATGGATTTTCGGACTCATCTTAAGTAGCAATGTCAGCCGTGGTCTACCTCAAAGTCCACAACCAACTCAACGCATTATCACTCTAGTCTGCTCAAAAAATAAGGTCGCTCCGTTCAAACAGCTGACAATCTCCGGTGGGAACTGTCTGCAGCTCTGCTCCTTGCAAGATTAACCAAGTACGTTCAGGACCGACTCAATCTCACACACGTTCCCACCTATCTCTGGGCGGATTCATCGGGCACGCTCATGTGGATCAGCTCACATTTATCAAGGTGGAAGGAATATGTGAAGAATCGAATATGACTCATCCAGGAGCTCACTCAGAATGCTCACTGGAGACTGGTACCGGGCAAGGAGAATCCTGCAGACTGTGCTTCCCCAGGTCTCTCAGTCCAACAGTTGACAGCTCACAAGTTACGGTGGACCGGCCCACAATGGCTTCATCACGACAGCTCAACCTAGCCAATTCACGCCCCTGAAAAGGACCTCGCCATACACCTCGAAGAGGAGCTTGGAGTTTTGCTTCATGTGTCAGCTCAACCAACACTCGAATCGATTACGCCGGCCCAGTGTCTTTACGGTTCTGGAAAGGACGGGGACACAGGTCATATACAGGCTGGTTGACAATTTTTGTCTACATTGAATTGCTAGGCACATCTGCACTAATCTTTCAATCTTCGGAATCAGGGAAATAATAAGAAAGTGATAAAAGAAACCAAATTTAATGACTTTATTTAATGATAACCGTGGCCGAAATACAATAGTTACTTACTGATTCTGATTTAAAACTCATTGAGTCGATGCATTCCGGGGACGAAGCGTGTGAGGAATTGAGAAATCGGTGAGATTACTCATCCGATTTCTCTTCAAAGATTTTAGTTTTACTATTTGGATGTGCTCTGACTGTGAGCGCGGTATCAATCTCATATGTGTAACCAAGAAAGCGTCATAATGTTAACCGTATGAAATGCCGACCTCAACGAAAACTTTTAAATCATGGAATTCATACGATAAATTAATTGCTTTGGATAGAGTACAGCTAGAAAAAAACACCATGCTTTAAAAATCTGCAAACATATCCTAAATTGTGAAAAAATATGGGTTTTAAAAAAAATCTATCACAACAGGGTGTTATTAATCGGAACTTTCAAAGCGGCTTTATACCAATCCAATGGCAATTTTAAGCTGTCATGATTTTGTCATGGTTTTGATCAATTTCGAGCAGGAACAGCTAAAGATCCCCGGTTCACATCCCGTTCTGAATTGTCCATTTTATCATGAATACATAATTGTTGGAACTTTCGAAAGTGACTCCTTCCAATTTGTTCCTTGCTTCTGAAATCGAATCTGTTTTTTTTTTCGATTTCATTCGAAACAACCGTTTCCTAAAATAAATCATAACAGGGAGAAAAATTCCCTGTTTCCCCCTCCCACTCACTTTACCTCTTACTTCCTTCGCTTCAATCTCACTGCTATTCCGGTCCATTTCAGCGACGAGGAAAGTACCTGGCTCGTAAAGGACTATCACCGGATGCAATGAGCTCTCTTCTGCGCTCTGTTACATACTGATAGAGCTTGGAAGTGAATAAGCCTCAGGGAAGGGCATCACCAACTTATCTTCTTCTGAGGTGGCTAGATGACGGCAACTTCTTGGTTTTGAGAATTTCATCTCAGAGTCTCCTTTTGTAGGCTATATACAATGTCTAAGACATCTCGCCATCACTGACCTAAAAGAGAGAGTTGAAATGCAGATTTTCTTCTTCATTTGAGAATAAATTGAGAAGGGCCGACGCTAGCGCATCCTTTCATTTACAAAGTGACGTGAACTATTTGAAAAATCTATTTTTACACGAAATAAATTGTTTCTTTTCGTTAACGACTCGTATCATCACAGTTGAATTGTTATGCCATCAATATTTCCACGCATTACGCGTATCTGATTCCATAAAAGGCGACTGACTGCAAGCTTATTAATATTTTGCGGAGGACTATTGTTGATATATAGGCGTAAAACCTATGCACACAATAATTCCTTATTTGTATCCTCATTTACATATATTGAGATACCCCCGCTTTTATCATTTTCTTCAACGAAGCTTACATAATCAATATTCCAAAATTTAAAATGTCAAAAAGCGCTATATTTAAATTAGACTGCTTATTTTCATTTCAGAAGCAGAGAAATGCAATCAGCATCTGATCGCTCAGAACAGCAGCTATCTACAATCAATCCAGCAGAGTTACTGGGTCCTCCTACTTACGAAGAAGCACTAGAAATGACGAGAATTGGTCGATCTTTGGACACCCTCAATTATGTTTCCAGTGGCAGTTTGGGTCACTCGCATTCATTTTCATCTCAAAACGTTTGGGAACGGAAGAAACGGATGCAGAGGAAAGGGTCACCTAAACGTGCCAGAAGCGAAAATGACTTATTATCTAGAAGAGACGCAAGACCAAGAAAGACCAACCGAATCATTAGGAGAAGCCATTTGAAATCACCCCCCAAACAATCCAATGCAAAGTCCTCCATCACTCAAACTATCATGATAAAAAATGAAACCCTCAGAGAACAACGTCAGATCGACGACCCCACAAGCGAAACCAATGAAATTACCACCAAAACCGGAGCAAGATCGTCAATGAATAGAAAGAAAAGACATCATCTTATGCAGAATGACGGGAATTCTAGCGATGATGAGGATTCTGATAATATATCGTTAACGAACGGTATTAGAATTGAAAAGTCCCAATCGAATGTGCCAGTAATTGAGCTCCTACGTGAGCCCCGGGGTGGAACTCACAAACGACTGACTCGACAGAGTGTGAGGCCATTATCGGAAGCTTCTAATAGTGCGCAAATAATGTCGACAAGTCAAATAATTTAAGTGTCTACGAAAAAAGCAAATACAATTGAACATTGACTGCAATTGCTGAAATCGTTGTTTATGAATTCGAATTTGCAACATAATAAATGATAGAAAAATACAGTAGCTTCTAATTTTCTTCATTCTAATGGAGATTGTTGAAATCTGGTTCTAATTTCATTATAAGATTGTGGGTACAGAATGATATTGTACAATAACCATATAGAATATAACTAAACTATGACTAACTATGACCTCTGGTGACAGGTGCTGCTAAGGAGGCTTTTCACCCTAGGACGGAAATTATTCATCTGTTGTAGTATTGTAACGGCACTAGAGGTAAAATTCGAAGAATAAGGGAGAGAAATGATGACTCCCAAGATGAAATGCTTCGCTCAATTTTTTTATTGATTGTGAAAAGAATCTAATTTGACAGCGTAATGTGTGGGATAAAGGGCTGAAGCACACTATGACGACCTACAAGCAAAATTGTGAAAATGAACAAAAGTATTTATTCTGGTTTTTAAAGTGATTTTTCTGACCAAGATTAGGGGTTAGAGATTTTACCACGAATTCGAAAAAAGAAAAAAATTTGTGTAAAAATAAAATGGAAACGAAAGTGTTTGACTCATAATGGTGGTTTTAAATGATAGGCGAGAATCCTTCAGTAGCGTTGTCCTTGTCCAGGTGCTGACGTTGGCGATTGTTGAGAGAATTTAGCAGGTGGTAGGTCCAGTAGGCAGGTTGACTAGAGGTGTAATGATCTTGATCGGCTGGACGGAACTTCTCAGATGATTTGGTTAGATGTTGATGAGTTATGAAGAAGAGATTGGTAGTTTGTAGCTAACCAAGCTTAATATTGTCCAAAATTGGCAACTCTTCGTCCCAGTTGGTCGGTCGATTGGCTGCACCCTGTTGCTTTGCAGAAGTACACTAAAGGATCTCTATATTAACACTCACTTCGAAGTATACAGAGATTAGTACAGCTCGTGCTCAATATTAATGAACAACTGAGACGAAGATAATCGATGGTTGAGTCTCTTATGGGTCAGAGCTACGGCATCTATCAGGGAGACGAAAAAAGGAAAAGCATTTTCTTGGACCCCAACGCGTCTTCTTGTCATACCGGTTCCCTTGAGAATAATAAATGAGGGAGCTTGGGGACTTTCCGACGCTCCTTCCCCTCTTCCTTTCTAGGAAGTGCAAGTGCTTTCGAAATACCGGATATAAAATTTTGGTGGACTCCTGGTATCAGAATAGAGCTTCTACAGAGAAGGAAGAACGATTGCGCATTGTAGCTGCTGCGGCTGATATTATCATAGAAGATATAAAAAGTCAAGTTTACGATGCATCAGCTTATCCATCACCTGGAGAAATTTTTAATACTAGCGTATATGGCGCGCTATGCGCGCCAAATCGTCCACGTATGGGGTGTTATCATTGTTGAATTTTGATTTTGCAAGTTATTAATTTTATAAGGTTATAATTTTTACGAATTATATCTGATGATTAATTTTTCATATTGCTGTTTTTTTGTTCATTTTTCTTTTGCCGAATATTGTATGAATAAACTTTCAATTATTTATATTCCAATGAGAATTTCCTCATTATTCATTGATTATCTTTAATTTGTATGGTTTAATCCTCCTTCCTTTTTAATCCAATTTCCTTATATAAATTCTTCTTCTCGAGTCTCAAATTTATCAAGTTGTTGAAACAGTGAAGTCTACACATACTATTCTTTCACATTCCTGTCCATGTGTGCAATTAAAAAATAAATTATAGTTATTTTAATCCGTCCAAATATACTGTCGCTGTGACAGAGCATTTGAATGTTCTGCGCATAGCGCGTATATCAATGAGTGGCCCGCGCACCAAGGGCGGGCATACACAATCAGCTGATTGTTCGGATCTTTTTGTGTTAAACGGTCTTTAAAAATTAATTAAAAAATAATAGTAGGCTTAAAAACATTACTTCCACCCGAAATTTGAAAAATTGGGTCAGCCCAACCTCTGGATATTTTTATTTTTCCGATAGGATTAGATTAATCAATCCAGTGCAGTTTTTTGGCGTTCCCCCTCATTTTTTCATTAGTTCTTAATTAATTAAGCATATTTCTGCTCAACGTGTGCATGCACATTTTTGATATGATGATCAAGGGAATTTTATCTACATTTACATGCAATTTCAGCCTGCCAGGACTTTTTTAGGGATATCAAGTATAAACGCGAATCTTGTTTTACTGGCCTATACAGGGAGTTTTACGCAACACTAAATATATGCGTGGAGGTCGTTTTTTGGGGGCTATGGGGGACTGGAGGGTCCTAGGTCGGGGAATATGGAGGGACATAAGGGCAGAGATGGCTGGGGATTGTTGAGAGGAGGGCTCGGGGACGAAGGTCGGTCTTGAGAGCGAAGGGGAAGGCGAGGGGAAGGTGAGGTTTCGGTGGTGGTGGGGGTCGATGGTGTGGGTGGTGGGCGTCGAGTCGGGATTGCTGGGCGAACTTGAGAGGGAAGAGGACTAGGGTCCTAATGAGGTCTTTCAAGGGGCGACGATGAGGTCTGGAGAGGCGGGTGGCGATGGGGAGGTGGTCGGGGGGGTTGTTGATGGGGGTAATGGGACGCTTTGGGACTCGGCCTCGTCGTCGTCTAGGGGGGGATACTCGAGGGGCTTCTTCTGGGGCTTCTACTGGGGCTTCTGGAGTCTCCACCTTTCCTGCGTTATTTTCTGTCTGGCTTGGGCCAGCATCTCTTCTTGCTCCCTCCAGGGCGCTGAAGGGTAGCTCGACGGGGGAGCTTCCTCCCCGAGGGGGAGTACATATATCCCCCTTCCGTAGGGGACCCTCCCACTGTTTGGCATCTGAAAGGGTTCGAAGATGATAGGGTCTCAGGTCTGTGATGTGTATTTGGTGTATCCTATTGCCTCGGGGGTTTTCGAGGTCATATAGGCTAGGGGAAATTATGCTTACGATGTGATAGGGGCCTTCATACTTTGGGGCTAATTTTGCTGCAAAGTGCTGAGCTGCATGGGATAGGGGTCGGTGCCTTCTCAAACTAATTCGCCTAGCCTGAAAATCTCATCTCGTCGACCTGCGTCATAGTGGTCCGCTTGCTTCGTGAACGCCTCACCCATATACTTTCTCGCGAGATCGTAGAAATAATTCATTTTCTCGAGTCGCACTTTTACGGGGCCCGTGGGAGAGGGATCAGGGTGTTTATCGGCACCATTTGGTGATTTGATCAAGGGACTAGGGGGTGGGGGAATGCGACCGATATTTAGGAATGCGGGTGAAACGCCAAGGGAGGAATGAATCGACGTATGCAGGGCAAACGCTAACTCGGGTAAATGTTGATCCCGATCTCGGTGATTGTCGCCAGCATAAATGCCTATCATGGGTTTAAGGGAGCGATTAATTCTTTCGAAGGGGTTGGATTGGGGGTGATAGGGGGGGGGGGGGGGGTGATGTGGGTAATTCCTAATTGAGCTAGGGGTTTCGCTAGGCCAACAAATTCCGTGCCGTTGTCGCTGAGGAAAAACTGCGGTTTTCCCCAGCGTAAAATCACTGGCTCATATAATACTTTCCAAATATTTTTCGCGATGGCTTTTCTAAGGAGTTTAATCTCGACATATCGAGTAAATACATCTTCTAGCACGAGGAGGTAACGATATTGGTTTTTGCTGGGGGGGAAGGGGCCCATAATGTCACCTGCGACGGTGGACCAGGGCTCGGAGGTTGTTCGCTCCAGCATCAATCCTTTGGGTCTCGGCTGAATTGATTTGTATCGCTGGCATTGGGGATAGGGTCTGACAAATTTCGCCACATCGCGATAAATTCCGGGCCAGTAAAAATACAGGGCTACGCGGTGATACGTTTTAGCTAGTCCACCATGGGCTGCGTAGGGGCTGTCGTGTGCGTCGCGTATTGTCTCGTGTCTTAGTCCCGGGGGTAGAACCGTCTTCCATCGATTCAGGTCAGGGACAGTGGGGTCGATCTGGGGACAGGGGCGAAGGAAGTATAAAACGTCATCATCTACGGTCCAGTCGGGGTACTTGTGGGGGTTGTGTAGTACGTCTAGTTTCTTCTTCTGGTACCACCTGTCAGGGGAGGAATTAATTAACGCGAGAACGGTGAGGGCATTGGGGCAAAGACGAGAGAGGGCGTCAGGGACGGTGTGGAGGGAGCCTTTTAGGTGGACGATTGTCAAGTCGTCGTTTTGCAGTTCCAAAGCCCACCGGGCCACTCAACCGGTCGGGTTTTTCAAATTGAACAACCATTTTAAACTCGAGTGGTCTGTGATCACTGTAAATTTCCCCCCTTCAATGTAGGGGCGAAACTTACACGTGGCCCATAATACTGCCAAATATTCTCTTTCGGTCACAGTATAGTTGCGTTCGGCGGGGGTCAAGACTCTAGTGGCGAAATATATTGGTCTGTCTAGTCCATGGCCATCCAAACTCCGATTCCTGTATCAACACCGCTCCTATCGCCATGTCACTTGCGTCCGTCTGAAGGGTAAAGGGTTTAGAAAAATCGGGGCGGGCTAAAACGGGGGTTGTGGTGAGAAAGGTCTTCAATTTGTTAAATGCAGTTTGGTGCTCGTCCGTCCATGTCCACGTTACATTTTTTCTGATCAGTCCGAGCAAGGGGATTTTGTCGTCGGAGAGGGAGGGCAAAAATCGGGAATACCACCCGACCATGCCAAGAAACCGTTATAATTCCTTGACATTCGTAGGGGGAGGGTAATCTGTAATGGAGGCAATATTATTAGGGTCTGCTTCTAATCCATTCGGGGTTAAGAGGTATCCTAAAAATTCTAATCGGTCGCATAAAAAGTCACATTTGTCCTCGTTGATGGTCAGGTTATTGTCCTGGAATTTCTTAATTAATTGGGCGATAAGCCATATGTTACGGGTGCGGGTACGGATACGGTGAAAATCAAAAAGTCTTCGGCGTATTTACGTACGTTGTTAGACCATTGGTAGGGCATGATCATGTCCGTCAGTAACTGAAACATTGCGGGGCCGTTCTTCAGTCCAAAGGGCATCCGTTTGTATTGAAATAGTCCGGGGGGAAGTCCAGGGATGGCGAAAGCAGTCTTTTCTTTACTGTCGTCGTCGAGGAGAATATGGGGCAACGTTGGGCTCACGTCAACTTTGGTGACGTAAACCGCACCGTGGGCACAATCCAATAAATCCTCTAAACTTTACATAGGGAGGGCGAGGTGCTTGGTCACGGCGTTAAAGGGGCGGTAATCGAAACATAAACGGTAATTATTATCGGGTTTTCTAACTAACACGGGCCAACGACACCAATCACTTTGTGAATGTTCAATTATACCTTCTTTCAATAATTGCGCGGCTTTTAAAATGTGGGGGCATATCTACGGGTAGCGCCACGGATAGGGGGATGATCTTGGGTATCGATATGCATTAACAAGGGACAAACGGAGGCAATTTCGGGGGCTGGATTTATCCAACTTTTGGATTCTTCGCGGAGGGTTTTCAACTGATCTTCGGGGACGATGGCTAATTGGGCTAAGTCACAGGGGGGAGGATTGGTTAAATTAAGGGATCGTCGTCAGGGACCTTCACCGTCTGAGGTATACCATACGCTAATGGGTTGTGCAGTGAG